TGTTTTCCAAATCATCACGAAATTTGTCCCAGTTTACTCGTCCAGTGATCAGTTTAGGAAGTGATGGTTAGGAGCAAAGTCAGAATGCAGTGAAAGCAGAACTGGACTATGGTCTGAAGAAAGGTCATCCAGGGATTTGATTATAGTTTGGGAGGAGGAAATCTGGGAGGTGATAAATATGTCCAGGATATCGGGACGTTTTTTGAGGGATGTTGGAAAATAAGTATGATTCATGGGCGAGAGAATGGAATAATTGTTGGAAGAAGAAACTTGTGAAAGGGTATTACCACGGGAGTTGGATGTTTAGCATTGTAGTCTCCTCCAGCAATAAAGCGGGATCCGAGGGATTGTAATAAGGATTTAAGCAGGCTGTACGAGAGGGAATTGCCAGGAGGACAGTATACAGCTGAAAGTGTTAGATGGAAAGGACGAGTTGAGAGGATTACAGAAGTTGACTGAATGGCATCTGTTGGAATGGAAGGAATAATGGAATGGGGTAAAGATTTGTGGATAAGGATGCAAAACCGGCGTGGGCAGTGTTGTCTGGGTGGTCAGATCTATAGGTGATGTAGTCACGTATGTAGAAATGTGTCCGTTGGGTGAAGTGAGTTTCTCTTAGGAGGGCAATGTCAATATAATTGTCATGGAGAAATATGTCTAGTTCATCACGGTGGTTTTGCAGTCCATTGGAGCTAGGGACTTTGTGTTCATCGAGGGAAGCTAAGCGGGATTTCGGAAAGGAGTCTGGTTAGAAGGGTTATGAGCGGTTTGATAGTCTGTTGAAGATCTACAGGAATGATGATAAGATAGTGTTGATGTCGGATGGTGTTTGGCTGGGAAGTGGGTATGAAAAATTAATACTTCAATACAGATAATGAAAAAAAAGTAATATTAGTTGCATGAAGCTGAAGTATAAAATATATTAACCATCTGATCGTTTTAATTACATTTTTTTCTTCGCCTCTTTAAACCTTAAAACAGCAATTGCGTCACATGCTCCTGTTAATAAAAACATATGTTGATAAAAATTAATAACGCATATTCATAAAAACACCTGGACATTTCAAATGACTAGAAGAATAGAACACGTATAACAAGAAATTTCAGTATTCTAAATCGGGATATTCTTTTCTCCCTTGAAGATGTTTAAACTCCTAGAACGATCACTCGGGCTTTGCCCCGCAGTGGACAGTGGAATTTATTTTAAAAGGATAAACCACTACTCAATGTTTCGCGATCAGTATAATCAATGGCTAAATACATATTTGGAAGATCTGGAGGAAGCAAAAAAAAAGATAGCATCCGGTGAGCATAAAATTAAAAAACCGGACACGAAAGAAAGTATGTTAAAAGAAATAGAACATGAGTTATCCGAGGTGAAGAAACAGATAGAGTTGGTGCAGACCAGAGAACAATCTTCCAAGACAATTAGTGATGAAAAAGGAGACAGTTAAATATTTCCGATAAGTATTAATAAACGCCGATATTTTAAATATTTTTTATGTTTCTTTTGTTGTAGATATTTAGTTTTTGGTTTTTATTTTTATTAAACTATATATAAAATATTTAGTAAGAGTACTGTAGCGTAAAATATGTACTATTGCAATAGAAAAAATTTGGAATCTGAGTTTTCAACGGAAATACACGTACATACGAATCTCTTGAGTGCGGATAAATAACGAGCTTTGTAAACGAGTTTTTGTGTATGTGTGTCAACAGGTTAACTGAAAAACAGAAATTCCTACGAAACTGAAATTAAATATTTAGGTATTGTATTTATCGGCCTGGGATAACACAGAAACTTTTTCGTCAAAATTGGATAACCGGAGGAACCTCTTTATATAGTCCGTGGTAACAGACTCCTTTACTATCAAATTATTAAGATCCGCATGAACTTCGTAAATAGCTTCATCTCATCGTAACCTAAAAATATTTTATTAACGAAAATTCTTGAAATTAGGGCATTTTCAATCTGGAGATCGTCTAACTTTGTTTATTTACTTTCCTATTGGATCGTAAGATAATTTGATTACAAAATCGTGTAAAAAAGGTGGTCTACAAAAATATTGGGCCAAATATCCTACAAAGCATCGTTATTTTGATATTTTGGGGGTTTAGGTGACACCATATGGCTCAATATTTTTTAAGGCTATTTTTTTTTCTCGAGTTTTGGTTCAAATTATCTCATGATTCAATTTGAAAGGATATTTACGAGTTTTTACTATCTAATTAAGTAAACAAAGTTTGACTATCTCGAGATTGAAAACGTCTCAATTCCAAGCTCTGTAAATAAAACGGTTGTAGTTTACGATGAGATGAAGCTATAATCTGGAGATCGGCAAACTTTGCCTATTTAATTAGGTACTAAAAACTCGTAAATACCCATTTGCTTTCCGCTTGGATCGTAAGATAATTTGAGCACAAACTCGAGAATAATGCAACCCTTAAAAATATTCGGCCTTTTGGTGTGATCTACACTCTTAAATTGTCAGAGTAACGAGGTTATATAGGCTAAACGGCCCAATATTTTTGTAGGCCACCTTTTTTATCGATTTTTTATCACATTACCTTACGATACAAGTGCAAAGTAAATGAGTATTTACGAGTTTTTAGTACCTTATTAAATAAACAAAGTTTTCCGACTTCCAGATTGAAAACGACCCAATTCCAATAGTCCTCGTTAATAAAATAGTTGTAGGTTACGATGAGTTGAAGATATTTGCAAAGTTTTTACGGATGTTAACAATTTGATAAAAATCGGTCGTAGTACAGACCAATTTTTATCAAATTGGTAACATGTTATGACAACTATTATATTACGATTTTCTGGAAAACGATCCAAATATTTTGGTTAAACTGGTTGTACATATCTACCTTTATATCTAATATAACCTGAATAACGAGCCTGGTATATTTACAATTATCAAAACGGAGAGAATAAAATGGGCAGGACAGCTCGCGCAGTTGCCAGACAAACCAATCCCGATTCTGTGACACCGCTATATTAGTGATCAACCATAGTCACATTCTACTGAAATTTCAGTGAAAAAAGTTACGAAGGAAAATCTAAAAAACTATACCTTTTTTATTTATACATCATTTAAACGATTACTAAATTCCCGATAAAATGAGAAAGAAAAAAAAAGTGTGTCAAATAAGTCAGTATATTTTCCTCATCAGTTGTATTGGCCGAAGAAACTACTCAAGAAATTAAAAAAATAATCAAATAATCAAAGGTAGGTCTCCTTATCTTGCACATGCGCAGAAGTCGTTTTTTTGATTGTGAGGATTGGATTCGCGAGGAATTCGATGGCTTTGTAGAACCCCAGATCTCTACTTAGTAAGTCCAAATAGGTCTTAGTGTAGTCATATATATGAGTCTTTTGTAATTTACTGAAAGGTTAGAGCGTTTGTCTTGGAGTAGTAGGAAACATCGAGCAGTTTCTTGTCGTTTAAGTTTTGTATGATGATTCCAAGTTAGTCTTTGTCCAAGTGGAGTATTAGTTAGTTAGTTAGTTGAAAAGTTATAAGCGGGGTATTAGTAAAGGATTTTGTAGGACAGGAAGTTATAGGTGAAAAAATGTTAAAATAAAAAATATTTGAATTTAAAAAAAAAAACTGAGCTACAGAAACTGAGAAATCCATTCCACCTTTAGGTGGATAGGATGGACCGAGATCTCCATTTCCCTATCAATATACAAAGATGTTTAAGTAGTAATATATAAACATATTCTAGGATTTTATGATTCATTTCGTCACAAAATTTTCTACGATAAAGTTGGAAAAATACATTTAATATGTACAAGTAAAAATATATTTTATAGAGGATGTTTTTATAGACATTTTCCTATAAATAGACTGTGAAAACATTGTATTTTTATTTTAACGTTATGCAAACTAAGAAATCAAAAATATTTTTCACCTTTTTTTTTTATATTATTCATTTTTTGATAGAAAAGTTGTAGAAATTTACCTATGGTAAGAAGGATGTCCCCTGTTTGTTTCACAATGTTGAGTTTTTCAAATAATATAAACTGCTGCCCTTTTTTTTTGTGTGTATCTCCCTCCTCCCTCTCCCCATATTAAAATGGAAGTCCGCTCATATGGTTGTAGATACTTAACTGTTCAAATTAGTTAACTATATTATTGATAAAGTAGATATTTGGTACAGTATACGTTCGAAATTTATCCCTTTAATAAACCAGAAGAATTAATAATTTTAAAGAAATAAAAATTCCATCACTGAAGGAGGGAAAGATTCATCAACCTGGATGGAATCAACATTTATTATGCACAGCAGCATGCAGATAACTTGAAAGCAATACTTCAAGATAGGCAGAGATGATGAAAGGGGGCTTAAACGTTTAATGATCAACAAAATCTGTAAAGTCAACATAAAAAATAAATAAATAAATGTAGTTATTCGTGAAAATCTATGCAAAAAAGCCCTTTATATTTTTTTAAAAATAATTTAAACTAAAATAGCTTTATTTTTCTGGTTCTCTTTTTGAACATTGTGACAAAAGATAGAAAGTGGATAGAACTATGTAGGTATGACTAATAAAAAATTATACAAAACTGAAAACTCACTTATAAATTTTACGTCAATAACTCAGGTACGTCTATCTTTATGAACACATTCTCAATTCAAAAATTATCCTAAATTTTATGCCACTTTCGTAAGAATAAATTATAAAATATCCATGTATGCAGTTAAAAATATTCTTGTGCACCTAGCGATTTACTGCTTTTATCTGTCAATATGTTGGAAAAGCTTTTTAAAACTTTTCGCGAATATCAAAATTAAATTTTCTTTTCATTCGGAGAACACGAATCTTTTTCCGATTCCTTTTTGGATGTGGTATTTGTGTGAGATTTGCTATCTTCGTTTCTAGTAAATAAATTATTTTAACTTACCTAATTGTTCTTTACAGTGACCTTTACTTACTAACAATTATGAAAACAAAATGAAAGTTTCTGAAAATAAGTAATGATGTTACCAAAGTTGTACAGCTTAAATACGACTTGAGCTCCAAACTGGGCACTGAAGGTTCTTTTTCTGTTCTTCTTGATTTGATGGTCACACCGCTCACCATTACCTGCAATATTTATTGTAACCTTGAGAATTCAGTTTTTAAGTAGGATCGGACTATAATTGTTCAAACCCGCGTTACTCAAAGATTTCCTGGTCACTTCAATTCCATATCTGAATAGCGTCAAAAGATCCTTTCGTTGTTGGATGCTTCCTTGCGCACTCCTTGAAGATGACCCAAACATGATAAACTATCGCAAATATAACCGTGATTTTAAAAAAACAAAAATAAGATCTATCAATTTCAAGGTCTTCGATTAAGATATAAGATAATATATGACAACTAGATACCGAATTTTCGTGCAGTAACAAGAGGGATTAGGATAACAGGAAAATTCTATTACATATCTCTGATCAGCGCACACGCTCCGACACAATATAAAGATGAAGAAGAAAAAGGTTTGTTTTATGGAGCACTAGAAGCAGCATATGGATGACCAATCCATGTGACCTAAGTTTGATGCAAAAATTTTACTAGGTGATTTCAATGCCAAAATTGGAAAGGAAAGTGCTTTTATTCCTACTATTGGAAAATATAGCAAACATGAAATAACAAGCGAAAATGGAATCAAACTGATTGATTTTGCAACTAGGGGACTTAGAATATGAGAACATAAAGAGATGTTCAAATTAATCAGCACCTCTTTCCAATGGAAACAGAATTCAAATACTTCAGAATAATAGTCACTGACCAGAAAAAAATGCAGGCCGAAATAAAGGCCATAATCACAGCTGGCAATAAGTGTTTTTTTGCCCCCACAAAAATACTGAAATCCAAAGAACTGAACTGGAATACAAAACTAACAATTTATAAAACCATTTTAACTCCAGTCGTTACCTGCGGGTGCGAAACATGGGTTCTGACACAGGAAAGTGAGAGGTTGCTGATAATCTGGGAGAGAAAAGTCCTAAGAAAAATATACGGTCCGAAGAAAATAAATGGCCAGTGGCGAATACGGAAAAATGACGAGCTCTATGAGCTGTTTAAAAATGGAAGAGGATAGGTTGCCTAAGAAACTTCTCTATAACCGTATTAAACTCTATAAACTCTATTAAATATATATATATATATATATATATATATTATATATATATTAAATATATATATATATATATATATATATATATATATATATATATATATATATATATATATATATATATATATATATATATATATGCGCGGAAAATTGACTGTTGTTAGACATAGGACAGAGGACTTAGAAAAACAAAATAATCTAGAAAAATGTCTTCATTCAAGTTTTTCTGTTTACACAGGGCTATGTTCATGGGCACTGTTACACCCTATCTTAATGATAGTTTTGATATTGTGACTATAGGGTCAATCTTTCGATGTAGGTCAGAGTTGCTCGATTTAAGCGTAAAACCATGGATGGTGGGGGACAACGATTGCTGTCCGGTATGTAACTCTCAAGAAAAAGAGGATATCATTCACTTTTTGGGGACTTTCCACATGTTCAATGAGTTAAGAGAGAAATGTTTTGGGCACCGGACCTGTTCTCCAGAAGAATTATTTGGTTTCTTAAAGGGTTCTTACTGGGAATCCTTAAGCAATTATGTACAGCATGCCTCATTGCAAAGATCCCAATTAGTCAGATAGTAAATTATTGATACAATATCGTGTTTATTTATTGTAACGTTTGTTTTATTCTTATATTGTATTTGATGATTATTATTATTGTTGAATTTCAATTTCTTATTTATTGGATTTGTGATGTATTAATGTTTTTTTTTTTGTTTTTTTTTTTGAAAAGTCTATTTAAACAGATGACACAGTGAAAAAGAAAATTGCTAGAATGGATGTAAAACCCATAATTATACTGTAGATATATTATTGCTGATTTATTTTAGTTATAAATGTGATGAATATTTATTATTAATTACAAACAACCCTCGACAGACAGAATTTTCCATTGTCTATGTGTTGTTGATTGTATATATATATATATATATATATAATATATATATATATATATATATATATATATATATATATATATATATACAATACATCAATAACTGGTGCAGGATTTAATTTTTTTAGGGGGGAGAAGGGGCTTTTTTTTTGCAAGTATATATTGCGATAATTACTTTGGAAGAAAGAAAGAAACTAAATACCTAAATATGAAATGGTGTTTAAGTGATTAATCAAGTCATATTAAATGTAATTAGACAAACAATAATAATTTTACGATATAATTTTTTTCATAAAACATGGTTATATTTTACCATTTTGGGAGGGGCTTCAGCCCGAAAGCTCTCCTTATAGATTCGCCTGAACAATACATAGGTAATTAAAGAAGGTGCCCCGTAAGTTGAGGAAAATATCTCAAAGGTTGATAGTAGCCATTAAGATCTAAAAAAAAGTTTATATAAATAATTTCCCAATTACGAGCAGAAAAGTAGTAAATTCAAGATTAGTGATTTGTTAAGTGAGTCACGTTTATTAGAAAGTGATAACTATAAAAATATTTAATTTACGTAATTCACAATGGCTTCATAGTAAACTAGATCAAATTAATATAAAGTTTGTCATTGTTTAGAACGTTTAAATGGGACTTTTGAGGGGCTGAACTCAGCTAAGCTGCTTGAAAAAAATCATAAATTATTTTAGATTTTTTTTTTATAACCCTAAAACTATAATACAGATACCCTACTTTTAGACAACTTCCTCGTTTAATAAAGTTCAAGTCCATATTTATTAAGTAGAAGTTTATTAGAAAAATTTTGAGATTCATTTCAGGTTGTGTAAAAAATAACTATGTTATTTGATAACTTGATGTTATTTGATAGCAAAATTTACTACGATAAATTAATGAAATGCTTTAATTATTTTTTATCTGATCTAGTATGTATAAATATAAATGAAAAACTTTTTATTTATTAAAAAAAACGTTAAAAATAATGTTTTTTAAATATTTATCATGTAAAGTGATAAAGAACTGTTTTTTTTTTTTGTTTTTTTACTATAATCACTATTGTAGATATTGATCTGTATTTATAAGCCACCAAATAAATGTTTACAATCCTAATATTTACTTTTAAGATAATGAACCTGCCTCAATTATTTTCACGAAATAATAGCGTTATTTCGTTTTTTACAAGGACAAAAGTCCTCTTTAACTGGTTTAAACAATGATAAACTCTACTTTCATTTAAATCTAATTTTATAACGATTACTAGGAAGCAATTTTAAATTTCTTAAATTAAATATTTTTGTAGTTATCACTTTCTATTAAACAAAAAACGTAACTCGCTTAAAAGATCACAAAATTTGAATTTCCCACTTTTTTGCTGGTAATTGGACAATTGTTTGTATTACCTTTTTTGTAGATCTCGATGTCTGCTGATAGCCTTTTAAATATTTCTCTCTACTTACGGACACGCTGTATATAGATTTGTTTGTATTTTAATTGGTTGATTAATTAGTTTTTATTTTTTATTATTTCAAGGCAGACTAATACTCATAAATTTGTAACACTGTTGTTATCCTTAGGGGACTGTAAACTCAGAATAAAATTAATTTTTTATTCGTTTCATTCATAGACTCACTCTCCATCGTGTTCCTTTACTTTAAAGTTATGAACTATATTCTGTAATATGGTGTGTATTTGTTAAACCAACAATCTGATTCTGTGTTTAATATCATCTCGATGTAAACGGTTTCCCGCTCTTATCCAATTCGATTTCTTAATCTGAAGTGTAATAGAATTTATTTCTTCTGAATTCACAATACATAACTTATGCATTTTCTCCATAATGTTGAATCTTACTTGATGAAAAATGTAATCATATTTTTCTCAATTAATTATACTAGTTTTCATAGCTAATGATATTCTGTAGGATTCAGGATATGTTTCTCTGCAGTAATTTATTATTCTTTAGTTATTCCAGTGAAGGATAAAAAACAAAAAAAGGAAAAAAGAAATATATAATTTTTTCTATTAGTTTTTATAAGATTTAGGAGTAATCATGTTTCTCTAACATTTCTTCAAGTTAAATTATATATCGGTCGTTTATTATTAATTATATTTCAGTTCTACATTTTGATTTAGTAAAGCGTTAATTATTTATTTCAATATTTCTTCCATACCAGAAACTTTCAGACTTTTTGCTTGAAACCATTCTAAATCAATACCTTTATTCTCCATTTGGAATTTTGCTTAAATTGTATTTAATTCTTATTTCCTCATTTGAATCAGCCATTTATTTTTCTTATTTATATTGTATTATAAGGACGCTTTGTTGCAGAGCTATTAAGATTATTTTAAAATATATTACACGCATTTCTTTATATAAAACAAATATTATGAAATTAATATTCCTATTTTTTTTAATTTTAGTTGAGGATTATAATGCGCTTTAAAAAAATCTGCTGAAAATACATGTTGAATTTCGACTTATATATATTTCATCGTTTTACATAGCGTTTTACTTGGTGAGTTTTCAAAACGATTTTTTTTTTTTTTTTTTATACACTATCATACTCAGCCTACCCAAAATGAGAAAGTATAGGAAGTAAGATAAATAGAAACAGACCAAAGGAAGAAAAAAATAATAATGATATCAATATATGCATTTAGGTATATTATAATTATTTAAACATTTTTTTTTTTTTTACTTTTGATGTCTTCATAATATACATTGGGATGGGAATATATTTTTTTATTGGCTCCAAAATAGGACATGAGCTCAAATTTAATTAATACATTCGACATAAAAAACAAATATATTATAAAAGGAAAGATAAAATGTATTTTGTAAGCAAATCTAGATGAATTAGTGTGCCACCGCCCAAGAGCAGACTGAATGAAATCTCCATTTTTATGAGACGGCATTACTTCGTGGTAAATATCACAAATCCGATAACCATGATTTATGTCAAATGATTTTGTAGTGACTGACATCAGTGATTAGAAACAAGTCAGTCAATTGTACGTCATTATTTATGAATTGCGTCGTTGTCGCATCTGGTGCTAGCAATGAATCGTCATATCACCTGAACTTCGACATCACTGTCAATTTTACAGATTAGGTGAATTGGTGTTAGTGTATTACTTATTACCGGACTAAGCAAAACGGCACGAGGGCTATGTGTTTGGGTTGTCATATTACGCTTTTTTTAGTAAACGGCTGGATCGATATTTACATTTGATGGCTCAATTTATTGAATGAGGTCCCGTGAGTGCTTTGGAACAATTTAAGTTAAAACCACTGATTCATGATTGATTAAAATGTTTCCAATCAATTTTCTAAAAGCTGTGTAACCATTTTTTGTTAGGGGGACTTTTATAAGTTTGATATCTTAAATTATTCTATGAGGTCCTATCCGTGTTTTCAAATAATTGGAGTTATAAATTTTGGTAAATCACTATTTAAAGTGTGTTTAATAAATCAGCTAAAAGGTAAGTAATGATTTTTTGAGCGGATGGCATGACCGATTTTCAACTTTTACAACTGTTATGCTCTGTGAGATCACGTGGATGTTTTGAAACAATTTGAGCACAAAATAATGGAAAACAAACTTATTACAGTTTAATTATCTCTATTATTGATTGATTTGTTATGAAAATAAATAATATTAATATCGTTAATATCATCGACACCATAATAATTAAATTAATTATTTTTAAATTTAAAAAAAAAATATTGCAAGAAATTGTGAAATTTTATCAACCCTAAGGGAATGTAATTCTATGTCTACTTAACCATTTTGGCAGATTGATTGGGAAGTTGTCATCTAGGAATATTTAAAATTGGTTTTGTAGTCGATACTAACATACTCCGAACGACTGTTATAGATTATACATAAGGCTGTTATAGATGGGACGATATCTATTTCATTTGCCTAAATTCTTTATATGTAATGAAAGACATCCGACCAAGACAAGAAGTTTAAATATTCGTAGATACCAATTTCGCTGTCAATCTACCGAGATGTTTAGGTAATACTGTTTCAGATAATTGAAGGTGATGATAGGTAAACCAGCAGCTGACATGAAATTTCTTTGATATTATTGTATCTTTCATGGATTCATTTCATAGAAATACATCTCACGTTAGCAAGATACATTTAAAATACATAAAATATCCATTTAAATTTTAAAAAATTGTAAATTCATAGAATAGTTCTGTAGCACCTGTTTGTCGGCAATGTTTGATTAGGAATGTTGCTATATCTGACAGGATTAAAAAAAAGGGTGTAATTACGCGAAATAAAGGGTTGAAATTTTATATTATTTATTTTAAAATAGATATTAACAAAAATTACCTTTAACTCATTATAAAACTAAATTACAGAAAAAAAAATATTAAGTAAATGTGATAACAGAAAATAATAATATGAACACACTTGTTGAGAAACTACCCACTGATGGCACTCTAAAAAAAACAATGTATTTACAATAGAAGACCTCGAGGCCATCTTCTTTTCAGACGCCTCTGAGTTATCAGGGATCGAATAGGAAGCAAGATTAGACACGAGAAGGTTCTGATGGTTCTGAAGTTTATTATGGAAGAATAGGTATCTGGATTGGGCCAAATCGGATACATAAGCAACATTAAGGTCGTTATGGATGATTTTATTAGTGTCAAAGTAAAGAGCGTTGAGGATTTTAGGAAGGATTTTGGATCGGATACGTGAGGAATTCGATGGCTTTTTGAAGCCCCAAATCTCAACTCCGTAAGCCCAAATAGGTCTAATTGTGGTCATATATATATATATATATATATATATATATGAGTCTTTTGTAATTAACTGAAAGCTTAGAACGTTTGTCCAGTAAATGCTGGAGTAGTCGGAGCGGTTTCTTGTCGTTTCAGTCTGGATTCAAAATTAGACTTTTGTCCAAGTGGAGTCTAAGGTTAAAACTAACTTGATTTTGTTTCTCGAATTAAATGTATCCATAAATGTTAATAATTTGTTTTCGATAAAAGGAAAAACTATTTTTGCTTTATATTTAATCCAAATCAATAGCAATTTTTTTTTAATTGGAGACTGTTAAATAGTCCCATTTTTAAGACCCGTTATGCCAAGTATAACTCTTTGACAGTACGGGTCTGTCAGCTACTGGTACAAAACCCAGGCTCCAGTATCTAACACCTATTGAATTTCCAATTCCTTCACCAACATAAGTTAAAATAAGATAAAACGTAATCTAAAAACATTCCAAGAATAAAATTGCAATGTAGCTCAGCTGTGTTGAATTGCTAACTGGCACAGCATACTACTCTATCTGGTATACAGTATCTGAAAAATCAGGTTGATTCACTTCGTTTATAAAAGAAGGATTTGGAATAAATAAAAGCAGTTAGAGAGAACAAAGCAAATCTAGGGAACTTTGTCCCTACTGGTAGATGGTTGTTTCTGGTACACACAAGGGGATCCAGGATTTAATGATGGTGAGGGGCTTCAGCCCGAAAGCTTTTTTTTTCATATATATATATATATATATATATATATATATATATATATATATATATATATATATATATATATATATATATATAACGATAATTCCTTTGAAAAATAATATAAAAAGACTAACTACCTATATGCAATGGTGTTTAAGTGATTCTTGAAGTCTTATTAAATGTAGTTACACGAACAATAATACTTCAAGAGATAATTTTTCAATATTTTTTTTCCATTAAACATGGTTAATTTTGCCATTTTGGGAGGAGGGTAAAACCTCTCCCTTAGATTCCCCTTTGCTGGGATTTTAAGTTGACTCCCAATTTGCCAATCATTATTTCAATTACGGTTTCCAACAAGATTAAAGCAAAACAGACAAATATAAAAGGAGAAAATAAACCAAAAATTTATGAAATGAGCTATAAAAATATTTTTTGAGGAGGGTGTTGATACCATGTCAACTACTGGTGCTTTTACTGTAAGTAAATATATTTTAAATCAACATTATATGTTTTACAGCATCAGTATCGAACATTTAATAGCCGCAGCTCGTGTATAGAAGCTTAGTTTTTAATTATTAATTAATATAGAATTTTGATTTTTTTTTCTAATTAAAATATGATATGCCTACATAATGCTTGAATTTCTGCCTGGTGATGTATGCTTCCTCCAGAGTTTTAATATAGGGCGATGGAAGCGTGTCCCTGGGGTTGAAGGACTCGAAAATACGTTTTTTCTTTTCGTTGGCTATGAACTTTTCCCACATCATCTTCTTGTATTCTTCACTATCTCTATTTACCTTGTTTAACAATTTCATTCCGCGGTTGATCTTCTTGTTTCTTCGTATTGCCTGAAATTGTTTTATTTCAAAAGATTTTCGAAATTTAATCGAGGAGGTGCACCTAATTTAAGGAAGTATTTAGAATATGTAAATTAATTTATTCAATTTTGATGGTGAGGATCACTAATATTTTTGGCAATCGAAGGGTTGAAGCAATAAGGAGGCAGATACGTTGTATAAACTAAAAAGAAATTAAAAAAAAAGGTTTTAGAAAAATGTTTTTTAGACTGAATTAGAAATCATACTGAGTTAATCAGGAAGCCATGTTCCACGTTGAGAGTGAAATTAGAAGTAATTTAGGCTAGCCTTCATGTTGCAGTAATATTCATAAAAAAACATACAATTTTCAGAAACAAGCTAGTATATGTATAGCTTAATGCAGAAAAGTTCTTTTATTATTGATACAAATACATACTCAATATTTTCTAATGTATATGCAGTATTATATTATGTACCGTAATGTACATAATGTATCGTAAGTAAAGGGAAATTTTTATAAAAGTGATAACAGACCTGAAGAGCTACAAAAAAGTACATATAAAAAAATTAAGTAATTCTTCCTTTTTGTTGATTATCTTAAGAACTTTAATTTAAATAATTAATGATTACTTCACTGTAAAATAGACTAAATTTACAGAGTTTGTCATTGTTAAAAGGATGGCTTTTGAGCTGCTCAACTAAGCTAAGTTCAGTCTTTAGAAAAGTTATAAATTATACAATATATTTTTTTTTTTATCACCATGCAACTATACTCCATATATCCCACTTTTAGGAAAACTTGCGGAGGTTTATAAGAGAAAAATTAAGAGTTACCTCAAGTTATTTTAAAAAATAATATGTGTTTTTTATTCTGTACCTGTTTCAGCAAATATGAGAACGATTAATTGTTGTAAAGTTTTATTTCATGCTTTTCTATGATCCTGGATCTATTATAATCAACGAAATTGTCTAAATACACATTTTATTTAAAAAAAAAAAAAAGGATTTTAAAATTATTTTTTAAGCAAAATAGTTATGAAACTGTTTTATTCATCCATATCTGTACTAAACCAATTTACCTGTGTTTATAAGTGAAATTATAAGAGTTTTTTGTCCTAAAATATAAGTTTTCATAAAAATAATCGAAGCAATCAATAGGTTGATCTATTTTAAATGTAAATCTTACAAGCTCTGCTATCATTTATGTAAACCTTTTCCTTTATACAATTATTAATAATAAATGTCTGTTATTATTGTCGGATCAAGAATGTAGCAGCTCCATTATTAAGGCAAGCAGAGGTGCTGCTACGTATCAGAAAATGTTGGAACTAACGGCTCATTTTTTTACTCAATTTTCGAACCATAAAGATTTTTAATTATATATTTAATTATGTGATTCGGGTCTAAACGAAAAACTGCCAGTTATGAATAATTATCTTTATTTCTGTTTCATCTTCAATTTTATTGCTTTAGTTACAATAACTGACAACTTCATGATAAAATAGTCAATTTAAAAGGAAAAACAAAAAAAGAAAACGGTGGGTGACACATAACGTAATCATCAACTTTAAAATATCTATTGTTTTTAATTAAATTTATTAAATCTGTTGTTATGTTTTTTTATTAATTAATACACCAAAAAATTCTAATAATAATAATCAATTTTTAATTCAATTATAAAATTTTAGATTATTTTTACTTGTTTTAGTATCCGTACTTTAAAATAATAGTGATAATGAAATTCTTTTTAATCCGTATTTCAGTTTTATTGTACTATTTATTTGTGAATTAACATCCTAACGTGAATGCATAGGGCATTCTTGTAACCAGTACTAAGTATTGTAAACCTCTTAAATGTGTTAAATACAAGGTAAATTTCTCGATTTGGGATTCGTTATTTCTTCATTAAATTCGGTTTCTTTTACACCTAACTTCTCAAAATCGTACGCCGTTGAGAGGTGGAAAATGTGTCTTATACCGACTCTAAATTATCAGACTCTAAACAAGAATAATTCAGTAGAATAGACACCTATCACAGATACTTTCATTACTATTATCCAGCCATCGGGATATTACCGGTGTTGAGAGGCGTAAATGGCCTACATTAAAACTGTTGGTACTCAGTGGACCCAGAATTCGAAGCTCTAAATCTTTTATTCCATGACTTTTTTCTCTTAAGAAAGTCATTTTCTAGCCATTTATAGTAATTTGCCTTAGTTTTTTTGATAAATTTGATAAAAATCAGCGTTCATTGACCGCGGTTATCGACTATAATACTTACCCAAATTGTTAGGTTTTTATTATTAGGACTATTTAAGATCTATCTCAAGTTGTGTAAAAAAAAAAAAAAAAAAATGTGATTTGCTATTTAGTCGCTTCAGAGTACCCGTGTTTTCTGCCAAAATGAATACAATCAGCTGTAGAAAAGCTTTTATTTCTTGTTATTCCGAGATATAGATATTTCTAATAAACATAATAGCCTATTATGTCGAATAACACATGTTATTCATAAAAACAAAAAATAATGCTTTTTCAAAAATTTGGATGTAAGATGGTTACGAAATTCTATTTTTTATTTCGATAGGAATTATGTCTGTCATAGGAATTGATAAGTGACGAACGTAATATTTATAGCCCTAATGTTTACGTTTTCATAAAAATAATTGAAGCAATCAGTAGGTTTCTTTATTTTAAATGTAAATTTTAGTAAAAAAAAACATTTAGTTATCAATTCCTATGACGGAGATCTCGAAGAAAAAAAAAATTTTCATAATCACTTTACGTGAAAAATATTTAAAAAAGCATTATTTTAAAATTGTTTATATTTATAAATAAAAGAGGAACTAGACAGGCTAAAAATCACGGATAAAGATTGCTTGGATAGAGAGCTTTTTAGGAAAAAACTGAAAGAGGTTGGGGTTCTTGTAGGTGAGAGGGATAAAATGGACTAAGGAAGAGCGAGAGGAACAGTCCAGGAGGATGAGAGAGTATTGGAGTGAAAGGAAGGCTGAAGGTGTAAAGAGGAAACGGAAATGATATTCGCGTGGTCCTTGCTGGCCGGTTCGTGTAAAAATAAAAAAATAATAATAAAAATAAAATGGGTTTTTGGCAATTTTTTTTACAATACATCCCAAATTACGGAAAAACAAGAAATAAAATCTTTGCAATAGTTAATTTAGTCAATAGTGCAATAGTCATTTTTGCAGAAAACAAGGGTACTTGAAGTTACTGGATAGGAAATCACATCATTTCTTTACACAACTTTAGGTGAATTTAAGAATGTTTCCCGATAAATCTCAACTTAAATAATATGTACTTAAAAGCTTATTAAGCGAGGAAGTTTTTGTGAAAGTGGGCTAATATAGTCCGTGGTATAGACCACTTTTTATCGAATTATTAACCTCCGCCTGAAACTTCGTAAATAGTTTCATCTCAACGTAACCTTCAACTATTTTATTTACGAAAACTCTTGGAATTGGAGCGTTTTCAATCTGGAGAGGGGCAAACGTTGTCTATTTATTTAAGTACTAAAAACTCGTAAATACACATTTGCTTTTTACTTGGATCGTAAAATAATTGTACTATATAATCTCGTTATTTTGAAATTGAGTGCAGGTCACCACGCCAAACGGCTCAATATTTTTGAAGGCCACCTTTTTTCTCGATTTTGTGATCAAATTATCTTACGATCCAAGTAGAAAACAAATGTGTATTTACGAGTTTTTAGTACCAAATTAAATACACAAAGTTTGCCCCCCTCCAGATTGAAAACGTCCCAATTCCAAGAGTTTTCTTAAATAAAATAGTTGTAAGTTACAATGAGATGAAACTATTTACGATGTTTCAGCCGGATGTTAATAATTTGATAAAAAGGGGTCTGCATCTCTGACTATAAATGTAGTACAGTGAAAGGGTGATTAAAAAACTTAAAAAATTACAAATAATATCTGACTTATTTTTTAAACGGAACTTTTAAGTTAAGTTAAGCTATGTTAATCCACCCTATAGTTCTTTTTAAATAGTTTTAACAATGACACACTCTACTTTGGTTTAAAGTAAATTTTGTCTAGTTTACTATGGAGCAATGTTTGGTTACTTTAAACAAATATTTTTTATGTTATCGCCTACTATTCAATAAAAAACGTGTCTAACATTAAAAAAAACACAAATCTTAAATTTCCTATTTTCCTGCTGAAAATTGGGCAATTGTTTATATGAACGTTTTTGTATCTCTTGATGTCTACTAACAACCATTTAAATATTTATCTCTACTTACAGGACATTTAATATATAACCTTATAGTGCAACTTTTCAGAAGAGATGTGAAGTAATTACAGGCGATTACTATTAGATGTTATAAACCAAAGAAGAATTATATCATGTGTTTCAAAATTTCGATAAAATGATCAGACTTCTTTGACAGAATACTCTTATGATATTGTTGTTTAGTCTTTATATAAATGAGTATATATTCAACTTCATTTGTTCCCTATTATCTATGCTCTATCTGGGACTAGCCAGTCAAGCTAAGTTGTTACTTTTTGTTTTATTGTAAAATAAATTTCATACAAAAACATTCGTTAAATGTACGTCAAAAATTCTTTCAGATATATAAAGAAAAATATCTGTGAAAATTATAAACTAGCATAAATTTTGTTAATAAACCATTCTAAATAATATTTGAGGTTGTTTATAAATTGGAACTTTTAGCCCCTTTCTCTCCTACTCCTCCTGAATTAGGTGCAATTCCCCAAATATTATTATTATTTTTTTTTTCATTTGCATTCAACTAGTGTTGTTCAAAATCTGTCTTAGTCTTGCACTTTGCAAGACCATGACGATAACTGATTAAAAAAATCGATTTTTTGAATAAAACTTAAGATAAAATAGCTACTAATACTTTACAATTTTAGTTACTACATGTGAAGAATTGGTATTATCAATATACTTTTGTATATAACTATTCTAATTTTTCATCCAGGCTTAGTTAGGTTTCTGCTATGTAAAAAATTACAGTAATATTTCTTGGCAAGATCAAGACTCGTCTTGGTCTCGCATTTGGGCAATACTACATTCAATGGATGATCTGTTTTTAATTTTATAATTCTTTTAAAATAGTTTATCCGTGTGATTTTGATCATTTTGACTTAAATTTAAATAATCGAAAGTCTGTTAATAAAATTAGTTTACAAATGCTTATTGCAATAACTGTACATGCTTCTTGAATTGACTTACACTGGCAACAACGGGTACTGAAGAACTTTCTATCGTATTTATTTTGTCGATTTCCTGATTGGAGTTCGTTCTGAAATCAAATTAATACAATTTTATTTACGTACCTTAGAAATTTTCCTTCATACAATATTTATACTATTGTAGTTGATATTTTACAATTTTCATTACAATACACATTGTACTTACTTACAATATTTTTTAAAATTTAATTTTAATTTTAATGTTAGTAAATATATAAGTCCGTGGTACAGACCCATTTTTATCGAACTATTAACATCCACCTGAAACTTCGTAAATAGTTTCAACTCATCGTAACCTACAACTATTTTCTTTAGGAAAACTCTTTAAATTGGGGCGTTTTCAAATCTGGAAGGAGTCAAACTTTGTCTATTTAATTAAGTACTAAAAACTCGTAGATACACATTTGCTTTCTACTTGGATCGTAAGATAATTTATTCTTAGAAGATCTCTCCCACTTTGAAGTTTTTGCCTGTCTATTATCTATCTATAGTTATTTTAACTTTTCCCTGTTTAATTCATCATATATTTATGTTGAGCCACAGTTCTTTACCGCCTTTTATTAATTACAGCTGTTGTAATTAGGTTTATATTTTCCATAGTCAAGTATCAGCATGTCTTTTTACTTCGTCACTACCGTAAGTCCTACCTTACGAAAGCTTCATAGTATGAGTAGTTGGGGGATATCATTTTCCGTGATGAAGTAGAATCCGGTTTCCCTCAGTAGTTTTGCCCTTATTGCCCCAAAAGTCATGACGACATGCCCAGCAGTTTACGTAACAGCACAACAGGAACCTAGGGAATTAATTTCCTTCCCAGATGCATGAAGCACCATGCCATGTATGATGAGGGTACATGCTAGCACATGTCTTTGATATTTAATGTAATTATTATTGTAAATATAACTTACCCGATGACTAAGGAAGGGTTGTGCGAAGTCCCATCAGGCATCTTTCCCTCCAAATCCTCCTGAACCTGCCTGGGCTGAGTGCTTCCATCGCATTCTGCTGCACTTCCTCTAAAACCGTTGATAATTATATTACATTATACAATATTATTTAGGTCATATGTTAGATATTTCAGGCTGAAGTAATATTTATCATTTTTTTATATATAAAGATGATTTATTACTTCATATATTTCACAACTAGATTATTTATAACTGCTTCGGATGTGTATCATTGTACAATACATTTTTTATCTATAGAATGTATTACAGAAAGCACTTATTAAATTCATTGCTAAATAAATATTTATTGGTTTGAGTGTTATTTTAATTGAAAAAGAAAAAGAAGAAAAATTAATTTTATTCTGGGATTAAGTCCTCCTAGAATAGCTACCATGTTCAATTTGATGACATTTGTCTGTTATTGTAAATAAATTAGATTACATGATTGTCTAGATCTAAGGTTACAATAAAGAACAGGCTCTGGTAGACATATGAAATCATAGATAAATTCAGATATGTGAGTTCACATATTTGTACACATAAACAATGTTGGTGATATATAATTATCTGTCAGATAACATTAAAGCGACTGACAGATCTGAAAAACGTGAACATTATTTTACACATATTCGGAAGATTGATTACTGAGGAGATGGATGGATAAATTATGTTTAAATGAGGTCAAGGATGATGATTTGAGTATGGAGGTTGGTAGGAAATTCCAAAACAAGGTAGCACGCATGACTTTTTTTTTTTTTTTTTTTTTTTTTTTTGGTTGAAAATGATCGAAAAAGAAATACACCTATGAAGTATTGCCGTCGGAAGACTGAAAAGAGCCACTTCAACTCGGCATAGCAACTGGAGACGTGGGAGCGCCTGGGGACTCAAAAAATAAATCTAATGAAACAATTCATTAGTCTCTTTAATCTGATCTCGAGCCCACCAGACAGTCCACCGTATACAAGGCAGCCATAATCGAAATGAGGGGAAATGCGTGAAGAAACTAGGAACTGACGGATTTTAGGGGGCATGGAATCACGGAATCTTATGAACTGTTTGAAGGTATCAATGGATTGTAAATGTATTGTTGTATGTAAGGAATATTTGATTTGTAGTGCATCTTAGATTACAACAGTGATATTGTTGATAATTCTTAGGCATTTGTTTTGGAATATTTGTAGTTTTTTCATCTTACTTATATTAGTGGAGCTCCGTATGGAGCAAATGTTAATTTCAATTATATAGTTAATTAAATTGTACAGTATCAAAAAGCAAGTAAATTTGACATGCTTTCGAAAGTTTAATTATGAAGTAGATGGTGGAATAGAAGTTTTTCGGAGGAATTTTTGGAGGAGGATTGACGTATGGTGGTTGTTAAAGCGTTTCTGAAGGAGACGAATGACGCAGGATTTGCTGAAGAAAGTGATTTTATGGTAGGGTGTGTACAGATCTATAAGTTGAGTCCTGCAATTAAGAGAGTGGATAGAGGAACGAAGACTAAGGCTTTCTAGGACGTAGGGAAGATATTTGGTTCTGAGGACTTGAAAAAGAAAGATATTGCCGTCCGAAATTAGGAATCAACTTCAACTCTATATACCAGCAGGAACCATGAGAACGACTGTAAATCCCAAATATAAATCATCTGAAGAACTTCATGAGTGAAGAAAAATAAGGAAGGATACTAGGTGCTGTCTAATTTTGGAGAGAAATAGAACCACGGAATCTTAGGAGTTGTTTAAGGAAAGTTGTACATTTTCAGGAAATCTGGGAGGTATGGTTATTTAATTTATTCCAGAAGACTGATTAACTTGTGTAGTTCACTCCAGATGATTTTTCGCGGCTTTATCCGTTTTTAAGGTGTACAACTCCTACAGTTTTTCCAAAGTGAGTTGAAGTATTATGAAACTTTATGCTAGTTAAGTTGTTGTTAGATTTTCTTTTTAATCTGCGTCGAACAGATAATACGGAGAAAGAAATTGAATGAACTAGTAGATTGAAGTGATTTTGATTTGAAAAATGAAATATAGTATATTTGTTGTTTATGTAGGATTTTATTGGTAGAAGGGTTAAATGTTATTTGAAATATACCAAGGTGCGTTAACAATTTTTTCGTAGAATTGTTCATAGTTTTTTAAAAATTTATTTGTGCTTGTTTTGCTGAACTCAAGAGCTCCCATCCATATGTCCATATCGTTCATAGTGTTCTAGATCATTCGCTTTTTCTCATAAGCTAAAGTGAGAGTTGCTTATATCATCTATTTAGGTCTTGTCTTTTTAGTGTGTTCTGAATAAGTTTTTGGTCTGAGTAGAGTCCGAGAGGTACGGTATATAGTTTTTTTAAGGCACTAGGTTGTTGTCGATAGTTATAGATGGGCATTAGCCTGTTTTTAGCGACAAAATTAGGTGGGTACATATTTATATCGTTTGAAAATAGTCATATTCGTAAAAAAACATCCTTTTTTTAGTATATAGTAATGAAACTGAAAACGCTTTCTAATGCATTTGGGATTTATTTGAGAAGATCTCTCCTTCGTAGTTCGACAATGGTATCAGAATTCTTTGATAATCGTGAACCTCGAAAAACTGAATAAGTTTAAAACTATAAAAAATTAATTAATCGACAAAACTTATTAAAAAAACTTCTGCCAAGTAAGGTCAGTATAGATTCCTCACCGTTTTCATTAACCAAAAAATATCTATATTACAAGGTCTAACATTTTTCGTATGACAATAAAATCTCTGGAAGAAGTCAATTTCGGAAATTCAGTAATCCCTCAACTTATAGGGGTTTGATAGTTTTGTTCATTGAATACTAAAATTTGAAAGAGTTCTGCATATTTGATGAAGTGTGATTTTAAAATACTTCCAGTTCATAATAAACATTAATATCACTACTGTTAGTGCAAAAAAATGAGTGCATAAGAACTTATAATTTCTATATAATTAATCTATTTTACATCGTAGCAAAGTTTTTATATCACTTCCATACTATAAAATATCACCTTTAGCACAAATAGAAAAAGTTGAAAATATTTACATACGACCTTTTGCTCAAACAGTAATGATATATACTTAATAGTAAAAATTCAATTTTTTGTATGTTTGGAATTAACTGTAATACAAAAATATGTGTGAAGTTCACACAACTTTGAATTTTAAGGGTGAAATCGAGACCATGACGAGCTAGTAGAACTTTCATAGTAATAAACACAATCACAAATATGAATTTTTTTAATACAAACTCAGAGTAAATAATAATTTAAATTTACTGAAAATTACACGAATCTAAGTAACTGCATTAAGTCTCATGCGAGTAACGTTTGAAATCAACGAAACAATATTAAGTCTAATTTAACTTTTTGGATAAAACCTAAAATGTTATAATTCCATAAAAATATTGCCAGATGATCAATGCCTTCCACATTTCACAACCATTATATTGTTAACAATTATTTATATTAATTTTAATTATTAAATGTAATTCAATGAAATTGATACCAGATAATTTCTATACTATTCTCTAAATTTCCTCCAAGTTTTAGGTCAAATCTAACATACAGTTATCATACTATTGGCGTGTTAAATATTAAATTTCCTGATCTGAAACCGGAAGTTTTTTTTTTTTTTTTGAGTATTGGATGGAATTCGATAAAATTTATACATACTTGGTTATAATATAATTTCCTAAAAATGAGAACCATATCGAAAGGGCGGTTTTAGAGATATAGACGTATCAAGAAAAACACGTTTGCTCATATATAAGAGAAAGTATTGGAAAGATTTCAATAAAATTTATACTAAATTATGTTTTCATTAATAACTAAGTTTTATCCGACTTTAAGCCAAATCGAAAGAGCTGTTACTGAAATATTGGTATATCTAAAAAAATATGTTTGCACGTGTGTAAGCGGAATTATACCCGCAATATCTCTGAAAATTTTATGAAAATCGGATGAATGGTACTAGGTGATGTGCCCGTCACATCGATTTGACTACAGACAGACACCGAACCAAATTTGATCCTTGTTGTCTGAAACGTAAAACGCGAGTGGGAATTTTCGATTCTGAGCTCATAATTTTTTGTAACCTATCGCACGAATACAATACTTTCCTACAAGATATACGAATTAAGAAGTTCTTGAAAGTTGAATGCTTTTGTTAAATTTCCTGCAGCCGAAGGTCCTGAGGACTTTCATTTATATTGGCAAGGTTCCAGGCAGACAGCCGACGACTTCCAACTCGGAGGCAGACATCATTCACAGAGGAAGCACCAATGGCGTTCGAGGAACTCGCTTACATTGAGCATAGTAATGACCACGCTGAGGCTAGTGCAACATCTCGCACCTCACCATCGCTCAAATAGTTTTCCAATCGTGATTGTTGCCTTATTTTTAACAGTCAGTTCTTTTCTAATTTCGCAACATTTAAACATGTTATAATTCTAAATAAAAGTCTAATTAATAATATATGACATTATTCGTAATAATTTATAGCAAAATATAATGAAAATATTCTTAATCATGTTTATATCATTTTTATACTCTCTCCTCCTCCCAAGATATTTTATTGCTCTGTTCATTATAACTTTTCTTAAAAACATAGCAAGCTAAGTTGGAATTAGAAAAATTGTAGTTCATACACAATTTCACTTGCTGTGGTCTGTTTCATGTTCTCCCATTGTCCCTTAGTCTGAAAATTCATAACCCCGTCGAAATTTGTCCCCTCAAAATGTCAAAAGCCCTGAATACATGCGGAGGTAAAGAACACATGTCCATTTTTACTTCCACTTACTTTTATGTAAAATATATAATAATAATAATAATAATAATAATAATAAGGCTTAGCGAACCCGAAGGTTCGATGCCGACACCACCAATCGCTTGTTACACACCTCCCTCCACCGTTCGCCGTCCAAACCCAGTCCCTTCAGATCAGCTTTAATGCAATCTTCCCACCTTCGCTTCGGTCTACCCCTCCGACGCTTACCATTCGGCACAGCAAATATTAACCTTTTAGGAATTCTCTCGTTACTAAGCCCAACAACTTTACAAGCCCATTTGATTCGCCGCGATGAAATTACCTCAATTATATAACCCGGATAT